GGGTTGAAAGAGTTAAGCATTTGTGTTTCTGCACCAACTCAAAAGCTTTCATAACACTGAATAAAATATTGGCCAATCAGAAATCACATTGATAGTTAGCCCATTCAGAAGTCAAGATCCATATTAATCTCGCAACAAAGATGCTAAAAGAAAAGCATGTCTAACAGAGCACGCGTGTAAAAAATCACACAGGGAGAGAATTCCATTTCAGAACACTACACTCACATCAGAGGCAACTGGCAAAAAAACATAATGCAGGAAACATTACTACTTTAACAATACCCATAAAGTAAAGGTGAAAATTAAACCACAGGTACAATATAAGAAGAAATAGCATTCCAGTATTTAACTTTGGCATGCCAGAACACAACCTTAACACTAAAATACCACAAAACTCAGGAATACAAAGAAAATAATTGCAAAAGAACAAATATAAGAAAAATATTATAGCAAAACAATACCCATAAGGTAAACTAAAGGTGAAAATTAAACAGTAGAAAAACATCAATCACAACATTTACAAGTAGTATCCGAAAACAGAAATCTTGCTTAGTGAGAACATTGCAAAACTTTAAGTCTAAATATACTGATAACTGGCTTTGCATGAAATCATCCAAAAACAAGAGAAATATATGCATTTTACATGGTTTACTCTGGAGATTTCTACATCACTTATGGTACAAAAGCAAATTCAGAAATTAAATCATTCCTGTTTTCCAGCTCTGATTCTGAATATTTTATGCTGGCATTCCTATTTTACATAATTTCAGGTTGGCATCTCTATATATTGTTACAACTTCTGCATGATATAACAAAGAATGTTTTCAACAAGTTGTTGTTTTCAGATCTCTAGCAGGCAGCAGCAGTCGTAGAATGGCAAGCATCCAAGTTCTGGATTCTCCTGGGTTTCAGAACCCTGCTACGTGCAACAGATACTCGGGATCACAGCTTCAGGATTTGCTTTATAACTACTGTCAGGAACGACTGCAGCTACTCTTCCATAAAGCTACATTCCAAGCTCAGGAGGAGAGGTACACGCAGGTCTGTATGACATTAAGTTTTAACTCTCAAAATGAACATATTAGGAAATATTAATGCTGGAGAACCTTATTTAAATCTTTGCTTACCATAAAGGCATACTACTGTATTCCCGTGGACAGTATAGTCATAATGGTTTTTCATGCTGAATCCAATAATATATAGTTCACAATAAATTCATCAAATATAAAAGCTTGGATGTTTCATCGAATTTCCTGGTTGCAAAAGGGTTAATTTACTGTTTTTATCTCTAAAAGGCAGAATACAGAAGAGTTGGTGTCTAAAATAACCCCAAACATGAGGGTTGTTAATAAATAAAATTGTTTGCATGCACAAATCAAGGTGTTTAAGTGAAATATTGAAACCAAATATGTATTTATATGTCAGAATAAAGAGTTGACAAGCTTGACAGTGAAATTAAGAAAGTTAGGGGAAGAGGAGAGATTAAATCAGGTCTGTACCTAACTTTCCTAATTTCACTGTCAAGCATGAAGAGGAGAGATTAAATCAGGTCTGTACCTAACTTTCCTAATTTCACTGTCAAGCATGAAGAGGAGAGATTAAATCAGGTCT